GCGACCTCCTCCAGTATTGGTTTAGCATTAGCGCGCAGGTCGTTTTCTAAGCGGTCGAACTATAGTGTTACTAAGCATCTACAAATGGGATTCGATTATAACATTTGGATTGTACCAGAGTAACTCACATCAGTGATCATCCTTAAAAAGGGGATCGTATTTTATGACAATCAGTTGTAACTGGATTTGCGTAGATTCTTTGAGTTGTGTTGTAATTATGTCATGTTGGATTACTTCCTACAGATTACTACCCAATGTTAATGTTATTTAGAGACAGAAAGTGCCCCACACATAGTCAGATTAAATAAGTAGTTGATCATGTTTTGTTTGACTTTATTTTGAGTGATTTTAACTGACATATCTGCAAGTGTGCAGGTTTTACGCTATACACAGACATGCACAAATGCTTCTACTTTGCGCCAATGAGTAACCACAGATAATCGCACAGTTCTAAATCGTTCCGGGCCAAGATAGCGTTTTCCTTCTATAGTTTCTGCTCTTCTCCTCTTTTTACCACGAAAATATATACCCTTCTTGCTTAAATCGAGGGATATAGACATTTTTCAGAATCGATAAATTTAATTGCCCTCACATTCGAAAGTAAAAAAACTCCTATAATTTAATTGGAAAATGTAACCAGCTTAAGCCTGATGCGACTCGTGTCGGTTAAGTTGAAGAGTGAACAACCTCCGATCCAAATTTTGAACGAGATAAAGCAGGTGAACGATTATATAGCACATTACTGGTTTTAGCTGAAATTACTAGCACACATTTTGTACGTACTGTTTTGTGTATAAGCAGTTAACCCAAGTAATGTCAGAGTTCAATTAATCCGCTGATATCTGAATAATGCTCATATTAACCATTCCTATAATGCATTATACAGTAAGGTCCTTTGAACTGGATAGATACTGTATCACTTTTGCTGTCTCACTAAAACATTTGTTAAAAACTGCATACATTTGTCCATACTATACTTTTGTGGTTCCAAACTTTAGTCCTTCGAGCCACATACGATACATACATGATAGCTGACGCCATATGCTTTTCATACGTACGTACTTTTAGTTTAAACCATCACAGTGTATTTATTGTAGTTGTACACCGGTACGGCACAGCCACAGGTCCCGAGCAGTGCAGATGTTGAGGCTAATGAAGATGGCGGTGGGGTCACAGGTTACGCCGCGCCGGTTCACACACATGGCCCCCCGGCTACTCACGATAATTACATTTTATGCGCTTATAAATCAACACGTTATGATTCGGAGCCGAGACTCTAAAGCGCATGATTGTTTCTGGCCCGACTTGTACAAAATGCTCACTATATTTACTCTCTGTGTACCTCGAGGCCCGTAACTGTGGACAGTCCGGTTAAATTACAATGCATCACTGCGATGCCCTTTCGGCCAACTTTCTACATTCCTGAAGGATGAGTGTGCGATGCAGTTTGTGTAGGGATTTATCGATCAATTTACTTTGGCCTTTCGTTTTCTTCAGTGTGTAGAGTTGCTTGTTAAACTGATTCAGATAATTCTGCGTTGTTCAAAATATTTCAGCTACAGAACTGAATGTAGAGTACTGTAATGCAGGAGAACGCTCTCTTAGTTAGATAAACACATAACTACACATTTATCCATATTGCAGGAAAAAAACCTAACTCCATACATGCCAGAAGTGAACCAAATATCATCAAGGTCAGTCGTTTACCTTTAAGAAACCCCTTCGGCTAAGAACAACAAACTAATAGATGTTGAATCCCGGAGGTAACGAATATGCCGTTCTGGGTAAATAGCATTTGCTTTGCAGTATTAAAATTTAAAATTTTGTATACAGATATAAAATTTATCTCTGAGATCAGAAATTTACAAACAGTTAGAGCAAGGCCTTTCAGTTGAGAACAGCTCGATAGTTTATTATTGCATGCCACTAAAATTTAAAGCCGCACAAACAATGTTAAATCTCTGAGGTGAAAAAGTACAATAAATATCTAGGAAGAAAACTGTAAAATAGCTTTGGTTTAAAAAGACATAATGTTAATTCCTCAGTAAGTTCAATTCAGAATCGCAAAAATCACCCAAAACATCATGTCATGTTAACCCGAACAAAATTTAGCTAACGACGGCTCAACAGATTCAGTAAGTTCGGCGATGGAAGCATCGTTAGCAGGAAAGGTTCGATTGTAATTGCTGCGGCGTTGAACTGATTCGAATTTTCGGGTTTATTGGGCAATTGACGGGTAAACAAAGGGTATAAACAGCGGGTATAAACAAGTTTTATTGGGCGAGGCGCAGGCGGTAGGTAGGGCCATATAACCGCGCCGTACCGGGAACTGTTTAACACCCGCTATCAGCTGATGTGCCGCCCGCGCCTCTACCTCATTGGTGAGGTTGTGAGGTTGTTGTAGAAGTGACTAGACTTTATCACTTTATTATCTTCATTAGTCCATGAAACTCCTAACTTGGTTATCTGGTTTTCTTAAGGCTGTGGAAGGACGTGTTCATATTAATCTAAAGAGTTTTTTACCATACTTACCATTGTTAGTTTATTGTCCCTTTGTATACTGAAGCGCCTCCATGTATACAACAACAAGATGTAGACAATTTTTGTATTTAAATAAAACATAGTTGAATGAGCCATCCACAGAGTACTTCTGTCAAAATTATATTTTCTCCCTAAAGTTTTGACATAGTTGATGTGACGTAAAATATACTGTGGTTTACAATAAGTTTTAGTTTCAATTATTTGGCTTCGTTAAAAAAATTTTATTTCCTACAGAAATCGTTAATAGACAGCTACGAGCTCTGTTGTTGGTTTTTATTGTAACAAGTATCATCAATAAACATTGAATGGGATGAGTAACGCGAATAGAATAAAGATACAACAAGAAGAGTATTCACTATCAATAGTCAAGAGCCTTACTTACTTTATATTAATCGTAAATAGCTCTGTCTGTTAGTTAAACTTTCAATCTAAATACCGCTACTTATCCATTTATAAGACCTTATGACTCTGACAAGCAAGAAGGCTACGCGTTCATTCTTGTTTTCTTTCAAATTTCACGACATAACAAATAAACTCTGATCATTAACCAACATACAAAGTTAATCATCATAACTCCTAGTTACAGCTAGTTATTATAACTACTTAATTGATTTACATCCAAAAATGAAAATTGTATTAATGAATGGTTACAATAAAACGGTGAACTGATGTTTACGTATAATTTAAGTGCTTTTAAAAAAAGGTCTTCTCCAGTGTTAGGTCGTGTTCGTAACTACATTAAGGGTTATTACGCTATTAAGTTATTACATAAATTTTAATTTAACACATAACCGGGGTTGTCGGTAAGTAAAGCCAAGCCCGGTATAGCTTAATACCGGGAACCAAATTTTTAATTTCATGAAATATTTGAAAGCATGAGTGTAAGTAATATGTATGTAAGTGAATGTTGAAGACTATAATAAAACATCAAGGAGGAGTCAGAGTATTTGATGTTCGGTATCAAGTGTATTTGGTTTATACGACCAAGCCCCAAACAAGGCTAGAAATAAACCGATAAACATTGGTTTTGGAAATGGTTTCAATCAAGATTTCCTCTGGATCGTAAACCTCTAGATTTAGACATACAAGAGGCGACAACAGGCGGCGGCGGTCTCCCGTGGTCCGCGATATATAGTTGATTGTAACTTATTATATACGTACGCAGAACGTATCACTAATGTCGACTGCTGATTTTGGCAGCGCTCGTAAAGAAACCTGACCTGAGTACAAGGACTCAAACCTATATTACATCCCGTCTACATAAATGTGATTTTATTTTGTCTTAAAACAGTCTCGTCTACTTACAAACACTAAAGGAAGGGCTGAAAAGCTATAGGATTGATTTGCATTGTACGTGGTAAATTATAGCAAAAGAACCATCGGTCGCCACACAGACCAAGATTCTGAGTTCAATCGTATGTTTAAAAATATGTTATCCAAAACCAAGCCTTGATCCTAATAAGAATAGGTTCAGTTTAAATTTAAAAATAGCAATCTAAAATAAAACTTCAAAGATTATTTAATCTATACATACGTAACAGTAAAATTATATTTACGATTTTTTAGTGCTTGATTCCAATTATGAATAGCTATATAATGTCTGATAAACGGTTTATGTTACCCTGCTTCGTCATGTGGTCCTTTGCAAAATTACAGTGTGACAAAATAATGAAGTTTTCTATTCGCTTAGGGTAGATCAGTCGTTATCATTGTAGAACACATACACAAACACACGACAAAAATACGATAAACGAATATAATACTGAAAAACTGAAGAAAGCTTCATGGCACATCTTCCGGCGTTGCCGCACGTGTCTCCCATGATAACACTGGCCAGTGTCATGCTCGATGATGGAGTCGGGAAATCCATAAACTATAGTCGCGAGTGTACTCTTGCCAAGGACCACTTGACAAAGAAAGGTAAAATAAACTATGTAGGTTAAATTTAGAGATCCAGGGGCTACTACAACTACACCATGAAATTTAATTTTCGTTTCATTTTCTCACTCGTCATTAGCCCCAATGCTTGAGAGTAATAATGATTGGAATGTTCTATTTGGATATTAGTGAAGTGTTAAAATAGAACAATATCCAATTTAGTTTGATTAGGTGTTTTTAGTTTATTGAATAAGATATTTCTCGGAAAAAGAAGTTATTTCCCAAAATAATTACATCGTAGGCTCTCACGGCCGGTATCATTGGAGCCAATGGTAGTTTTTGTAGACCACGTCGTAATTGGAAATTGCTGATGGACGTTTCTATCTTACTAAAGAGACATTCTCAGAGGCTAGACTGACCTGAGGTTTTCTCTTGAAAAGTCTGGTAGCAATCTATGATGAAGAGGTTGACACTGGAAATCACCGTGGATTCTAATTCTTCAATTTGTTTAATACCAAATCAGGAATATTCTTTACTCTGTTGATTGTTCTTAACATCTAACCTCTAATTGTCTTGTGCAGGTACATCCACAGCAAGGAGAAGCCGTTCAAGTGCGGAGAGTGCGGCAAGGGGTTCTGTCAGTCGCGTACTCTGGCGGTACACAAGATCCTCCACCTGGAGGAGTCTCCTCACAAGTGTCCTGTCTGTAGCCGCAGCTTCAATCAGCGGTCCAACCTCAAGACCCACCTGCTCACCCACACCGACATCAAGCCCTACAACTGCTCCGCCTGCGGGAAGGTGTTCCGACGTAACTGTGACCTCCGGAGGCACAGTCTGACCCACAACCTCGGAGCTGTTGCGGAGGCTGCCCCGCTCAGTCTGGAGGCGGCGGCGGCGAGGGACAAGGCGGAGGCTACTCAGTCGGAGTCCACGGTGGCGACTCAAGAGTTGACTTAGAAGTGTCTTGAGTCTATCAATATTTCCAAGGTGATCAATGCCATCATGCAGCTCTCAGAGTCGCCAAGTGACTTGTGAGTTTCCATAAACTCTTGTTGGTTTGGTTAATTTGAGCATTTTAGGGAATTATTTTTATGTAGAATCGTGGGACGAATGTCGTGCTGAGAAAAGTCTTGAGTTCATCATAATTCCTTTCATCATATTAACGGAATGTCGTTGTCACCAAACACCTTTCAGAGTTTTAAGAAGACTTATACCTTAACAAGGACTCTTAAATGAAGTATAATGTTGAACTTATTGAGAGAATTTGCTTGATGAAGAATTGTGTTAAAAAGCATTATATGTCATAGAAGACTTGAGATACAGGAAGGTTCATGACATGTCTCTTTTATATTTTTCTGACATATCATTAACAACCTCTTCCTGAAACAGTATGATTGAACGAAGACATTCGGATGAAATAGAGTACGCCACTGAAGAACACTTCTGGCTGAAACTACGTCATATTTCTCGTTGCTAACTCATTCCCATTTAAGGGTTTATACGTTTGTAAGGTAAAATAAATGGGGCTTCTTTACTTATTTCGTGATGTCTTAATATGAGTGAAAAAATTATACTTACTTCATTAACTAACTGGTTATAGTAGTTCCGTGGGAGTGATAATGACTGCATATATATATACATAAGCTGTAAGGTTTATTCAATATAATACCTTATTGTGTAAAGTTGTTGATTGCAAAGTTTTACTAAAATATCTCTTATATTTAAGTTGTACTTCTTTCTCACTTAAATAGTATATTTTCTGATTTTAATAGTACTAGGAAACACTAGCTATGGAAAATGTTGTAAATGATTGCCAATTATTCTCACAACGTCTCTAAACATAAGACTTTGATTATAATGCTGTGATATTTGGGGCAATCTTTTTATAATTTTGTTTTCATTTTCACCAATGTTTATGTAATTATATTCTGTGTGTTTACTGTGCAGTGGTTAAAAGGTTATTACTGCTTACATGATAAAGTCTTTGTAAAGACATGAGCATGTTACAGTCATAATTTCTGCACAAAGATGTGCTTTTTTTAAGAAAGTGTTGTTTTCTTAATACTAATGAAATTTTCTGAGCTACTTACGAATTTGAGTAAGATGTTGCTTTGAAATTGCCAGGATTTTTCATGTCTGATTACATTTATGCTCTTTAATTGTAGTGGAAAATACCTGTGGCAAGAATACATAGGCGCCCTTCTAACCTTGAACAAAACCAGGTTCTTAGTTAATAATTTAACAATTCTCACATAGATTGTGTTTATATTCATGTCGTTCTCTTAGTTGTATTGTTAGTTAAATAGGTCTGTAAATTATAGCATTTCTAAATATTGTAATAAATATTTGTTTTTGTGCAATCACTTTTTTACGTAAGACTAGAGAGTTTAATAATGTTTTTGCGTAGTTTTAACATGTATTTGACCTTTTTGACTGATCTTTCTGATCTTTTAGATACGTGTAATGTATATATGAAAGGTATCGTTATTAGTTTTAAGTTTGCTGATTCCTTCAATTATGTCACATATGTTCGACACTCGATTGTACAAAAGCTGAATAGTTTAAACTGTAAATGCAGTTTTTATAGTGCCTTTTCTTGTTCAGTATTTTTATACAGGGTGTTCATTTGAAAACTTTCCATATCTGTTGTGTGCAAAGGTAAGGCTTTTAACACTTGTTTGTTCTATTTTCCCCCTAATTTGGACGTGCCAAATCCAATAAAATTATTTTCAATTTTGAAAAATGCCCCAAAAGGGCCCAATTAGGGGGGTAGGGGTGCTTTTTGAGAAATTTTCAAATGTAAACATGGGTTGTGTGATACATCCATTTAAAGGTCTAATGATCCCGATCATTTTGGTACAAAAAAAGTTTAATTATCTTTAACCGTATTTACAGGGTGGGTCAAAACGTTTTAAAAAAGGACTTTGAAGTTAAGTACCGTATTACCCTAACTACTGAACGGAACAGCGCCAAATTTCTTTCCAAGCTTATTCTTGAGCTATTCTTTAAGATAACTTGTAGTAAGGGCATTTTCCAAGTTATTTTCTAATTTTTAAAAAATCTCAAATTTTAAGAATAAAAGACACCTGAAAACTCAAAATTCTTAAATAGCAAGGTATAACAAATTTCATACCACGTGAAAGGTCCTTTTTTAACAAACATTTTACGTATTTAAGTTTTCTTTCTATCTCTTACCGTTTAAAAATTGCAGTAGAAAAACCTAATTTTCTATGGAAAAATTGTAACTAGTTTTCTAATAAAACAGCCAAAATTCGTCTCTAGACACATTAAATAATGCAATAACTGAAGGAAACAATTCATAATTATTTTTAGGCAGATAGGCAAACAAGTCATTACGTTTTACTTTGTGAAAAACAAGTTTTATAGCTGATGAGAAAAACCCAAGCGTGGGCCGCTTTCTGTAGTACCATTGACTGTACTAATTTCAAAAGTACCATTTCCTGTAGTACCTAATCAAATATGGTGTAAACTTAAGAAAATAGACTTTATTTTACTTATTGGTCATAACAAAAGTGTTCCAGGATAACTGCAAAGTGTTTAACAATAGATATCCAGGTATAACCTTGAGTCATATGGCTGTAAATGATTTAGTTAGGAAGTTTTCTGAAACTGGCTCAGTTACCAATGAGAAAAGAACAGGATGATGGGTCCAAGATGAATTCTGACACACGTAAAAGTAGTCGATCAATTTGTTATGAATCCTACTACATCGTTGAACAAAGTGCAATGTGTTTTATTAGAAAACTAGTTATAATTTTACCATGGAAAATTATGTTTTTCCACTGCAATTTTTAAACGGTAAGAGATATAAAGAAAACTTAAATACGTAAAATGTTTGTTAAAAAAGGACCTTTCACGTGGTATGAAATTTGTTATACCTTGCTATTTAAGAATTTTGAGTTTTCAGCTTTCTTTTATTCTTAAAATTTGAGATTTTTTAAAAATTAGAAAATAACTTGGAAAATGCCCTTACTACAAGTTATCTTAAAGAATAGCTCAAGAATAAGCTTGGAAAGAAATTTTGGCGCTGTTCCGTTCAGTAGTTAGGGTAATACGGTACTTAACTTCAAAGTCCTTTTTTAAAACGTTTTGACCCACCCTGTAAATACGGTTAAAGATAATTAAACTTTTTTTGCACCAAAATGATCGGGATGATTAGACCTTTAAATTGATGTATCACACAACCCATGTTTACATTTGAAAATTTCTCAAAAAGCACCCCTACCCCCCAAATTGGGCCCTTTTGGGGCATTTTTCAAAATTGAAAATAATTTTATTGGATTTGGCATGACCAAATTAGGGGGAAATGAGAACAAACAAGTGTTAAAAGCCTTACCTTTGCACACAACAGATATGGAAAGTTTTCAAATGAACACCCTGTATAATACTTCTGCCAATCTATACTCACAAATAATACACCTTACTGCTTTCAACAACTGTATTTCATATTTTCAGTAAAACCACAATTCTACCTATATTTTAAGTTAGGTAAAAACATGCTTTCAAAATAAGAATTCAAATTACAATTTCTGGACACTTTCACTTGACGTGAATTATAAATAATCTTTAGTATCGTAAGTATTTCATTCATAAGTTTTATGTACATATTCAAACTATTTATCTGTATCTCATCATCTGCATTTAGTTGCACAATTCATTAGTTTAACCGACTGATGTGTATTCAACATTTACGCCATATTTAAGTTACAGTTTTATTAACGTTGTTAAGTATTGTTCAATCTGTTGTAACTGATGGAAATGTTTAATATATTTTATAATTCTGTGCTTGTGTGTTTTTATACCCAAAAATGAGCGTAATTAATTGTTGATAGTTTGTGGTATGATGGGTAAAGTCAGTAATTTAAATAATTTAAATTCAGTAATGGAGAGTTTTAATTTTTTTTCTAAATTTAATAGTTTAAAAATTACTATTTACACATTTCTATCTACTTCATTATTATATTTTAACTCGGAAACAAATAAATTAAATGTTGTAGTAGGTCATAAAAAAGACATACATTTACATCAAAGCTCATATTTTAATTTGTGATTTTCCAAAAACCTTTACTAAAGTACTTTAGGTACTAGAAGTTAAAAATTCGTGTTTGTTCACTTACAAAATACGCGTATCTCTCAAGAATTTATAGAAATGAAATTAGTACATTAGAACAAAAAAATGTCTTAAACAAACATTTCAAAGGTCTGTTTTAAGGACTCTTTCATACACCAAGCTCCAAAGCTGTAAAAGTGTTGAGATATATGCAAATACCATTAAATCAACACATGTTATTAAATGTCACCTATATACTGGTTGTGTTGTTAAAATAAACACATAACCGGTAGAACAATACATTAATAAGACATTAACACTAAAATATCACAAGGTCTTTCCAGGCATATAAAATGAATCTACACCGTATACAGATGGATCAATCCTGGTAAGAGAAATATGTTTAATAAAAGTGATATTGAAAGGTTCTGCTTTGGCGAGTCGTGTTAGATAATGAGAAAAACTGAATTATTGCCAATAAGTTTGCAATCGTAAAAAATAAATATATTTCAGTACAAATTCAAATCAAATCAAAAATTACTTTATTTAGCTTGAAGTATATAGGAATACATGATGGTTGGTAAGAATAGTATTCCCCTGAATGGACTTCCAAGTCCGTGCTCGAGGGAAGAGCTCATAACAGCAGGAAACATGTACTGTTTATTGTATAAATGATGTGTACATCTAAACTTTTAAATACATATCAGGAGCTCAAAAAAATATATATGGATATATGTATACTAGAATATTATTAAACAATTAAACAACCTTAAGCAACGATAAAAATACATTTATATTATTCAATATATGAAGAAAGGTGTATATAGATAGCTTTTATGGTGGTGTTTGAGGTAAGAGGTAAATTTAAATGTAAGGCGAGCGAATTATAGCCTCTGCAGCCTCTCGTCCCAGTCATCAGCCACTCACAGACGTTGCTTTTATACACAGCGACACTGCTTGATTCAGCATCAGTTATGTTGAGCGGTAAGTTGCGGTGTAAAATACGCTATTTATCAACGAACTATAAGCTAGTTGTGGAATGCGGTATCCAAAGTTATGTCTGTGTCTAGTGTGATAATTGTGTTGTAAGCTAGAAACATAATTTCCTTATCCTAAAACATAAAATTCTAGTGTTTTCATGAACAATTGTCTAATATTTAAAACTGGGAATTCGGGAAAAAGTAAATTCGTTGAATAATGTTTCGGCCTTTTAAGAATAATTTTGATTTAAAGTTTTCTGGGTTACGTGGCAACCCAGCCACGCCAACGTGGCAGCAGATACACCGCCCCACACCAGTATGCTATACTGCAACACAGACTGCACGTATGCATAATAAACATATCTGCAGTGATCAACCGTTAACACACGGCTTAATTGATAAAAGGCGTGGACCAGTTTCCTCAATCTTTGCTTTACAAAAATAATATGAGGAGACCATGTCATCCTTTGATCAATTACCTCAATGTACTTGTATTGGTCCACACGATCGATTGTGTCATATCCGCAGGTATTAGACCACAGATCACCACATGAATGAAGATAGATTTTTCTAGGGCTAGGGTCACGAGTTCGAGATAAGAAAACTGGCATGCACTTGGTTTTTGATACGTTTAATGTTAATGTGTTATGATCCAGCCAACTCTTTATTTTAAGTAAGTCAGATGCAGCTTGATGGTAAACATAGTCATTCATGTTACCCGAGGACACTACAGCTGTGTCGTCAGCAAACAGAAACAATTTACCATCGACTCTTAATTTAGTAATGTTATTAATATATATGTATATTAAAAAGAGAAGAGGGCCTAGGTTACTTCCTTGAACGACACCATAGTCAATGTTAGTGATATCACTATTTTTGTCATTGATAGTAACGAATCGTGATCTTCCAGTCAAATAGCTGCGGAACCAGTCAAGTGATGGGTTGTCAACGCCAATCAACTTCAGTTTTGTAATTAATTTATGCCTATCAATAGAATCGAATTGCCTAAATTTCAGTCTCGTGCATTTTATTTTCGTGGTAACAAACTCTGGGTAATCACCCAAACCCCCAAAGCCATGGACGTTACGGGATACAACGGAAAAAAATGTCCTATGACATTCCCTTGTAGAAAAGTTGCGAACAAAGTCCAATAGTATCTAGTAATAACTCTTAAGAACATTTATCATGGCTCACTATCAGGTTTGTGTGAATTATCCAATGGTGACTAGGTACAGAACAATTATTTTTATAAAACCCAAATCTTGAAACCAGAAGCTAAGTTTACTCCACAAGGTATTCTACACTTAAGTACGAGATTACGTATTATACAGAAAACCTTAAGCAGAACACTTTTTTCGTTTTATAACAAACATCAACGTTTGTCTACATCAACCCAACAAGGGTTCTGGTAGTTTTGTGAGCAAAGATAAAAATGTATATCAATTTTTTAACTTTCGTGGTGTTTGTCAGAAGTTTTTAACATAATCAACTGCTGGAATAAATATTCAAGCATTGTAATCTAGAAACAAGGATTTCTCGAGATGATACAGGGAAAAAAGACTTAGGCACTTATACTTACTTATAATTTACCCATAGTTTTAT